AATAAAAAATTAAAAATAATTACATAAATTAATTAAAAATTAATAATTCTAATTAATAAAATTTTAAATATTATTTGCTACCTTCAAGAATATATTAACAACTGCCGTAGAAGATTTTGTACTATTAACACTCCATTCTGCACATCCTTCTTTCCAAAAAATAATATAGTTTATTTTTGAACTGGAGATATATCTGGTTTCACATTTAATGCTCCTTCCAAAAAGCTCTGTTTCAACTATATAATTATCGGGTATAAAATATTGTTGATTGTTATTTTTTCCATTTTTTTGGGTTAATTTTGGTGTTGCAGGATAAGTTCCCAAGGAAATAATGTTATAGTATGAATAGTATAACCGCCCTTTTGATTCATAATGGGCTTCAATTTTTGGGCTTCTTGGATAATCATGTATAAAAGTACGTCTGGATAAAAAGCTTTCTAGTGAAGAACTTCGAAGTAAATATTTTATAAAAATAATACTATATTATAATAATATCACAGTATTTTTAAAACAAATACCTTCTAAATCTTGATTGCCTGCATTTCGATCTATTATATCGTAACTTTCTATATCATTATTTTCTTTGTCTTGGTTTTCAATGTATTAACTTTTATTATTTCGCGCCATTAAGAATATTATATTTATTATTTTTTTTAACTAGTTTTGTGTTTTATATTTGAAATAAATTCATATTTTTTAATAAATTTAATAAAATAGGAAGTAAATTTATTGAAATGCAACATACTGATTCTACCTAAAATCAATTTCAAACCAATTCCAAACCAATTCCAGAGTCGCAATTTCAGTGTAGAAAGTTTTCGGTTATTGGCTTTTATTTGTTAACATCACATATTGGTCATGCTTTGATCATAATTTATTATGTGGTTACACTCAAATTCGTAATAATCACTAAAATTTAATTAGAGATATGCAACAAATCAGCCCATATGGCTTTAACTTACTCCTGTTTTAAGTTATGAGAAACTCATGAGAAAAACTAAACAAAGTAATATAGTAAGCATATAAAAAAATTTTTATTCTTATAATCATCCAATCGAGGATCATAGATTTTATAAAAATTTCAAATTTCAAATGACCAGGTCATTTAACACAACCAATCATATATCACCAATATTTAACATCAAGGATTTTCACTTTTCTTATGTTTTTCGATTTCGCTTGTGATTTATAAAGCGTAAAGTAATTTTTTACTAAGGTATTGCTAAGAAAGAAAGGCCTAGTACTTGATTACAAAAAATAACATGTGTTTCATTAATTATTTACATTTAAATTTAAATGTCCAGAATTATGAAAAATTCTAGAAAATTTGACAGAAATTTTTACAGGCGTCCAAATTTAAACACGAATAACTCTGTGAATATCGATGCTATCAGGATAAAATACATATAATTTTATAGCTAAGAACAAGACTTTCTATCTTAAAACTACCTTTGCAAATTGCGAGTGAAGTCAAAAAATGTAATTATTACCTATTAAAATTCTGATGAAATTCTTGTATTGATACTCTAATTCGACTTTTTATTGGTTATTCAAATGACTTTTCAAATGACTTCAAATGACTTTTGCATAATTTTTAAATAACCTTGTAATTTGGTCATTTGTCATTTGCAAAATGACCATTTTGAAATAATTATGACCTGGTCATTTGAGGGTCATTCAAAATAAGCAAATGACCTGGTCATTTGAGGGTCATTTCAAAATAAGCAAATGACCAGGTCATTTGTCATCCCTGGTTGGTACAGGATAAGAATCTGTTACCTTATGCACAGGTTAAGATTCCCCAATAATCACATAAAACTATGTGAGATCATGTTTACCTTTTTATTAATCACATTTTCCCTAATAATAAATCAAACCAATTGGCCCATATGTATATATAGTAATTGATTATAATTATTATTGTAGATTTCTTCATCAGATACAATTACTGAAGCACGTCGATATGCAAGATTTTATGAACTTGGTGGTGAATGTTTGGAGAAACCTATTTATAAAAGAAACAGAATTTCTCAAGAAGAATTAGATCAATTACAACGATTTTTGAATGATAAAAATAATATTATAATGAGCAGTTACAAAACTGATGCTAAAACAGGACTTCCAGTAAAATATCTCAAAGATACAAAAGAAGCATTATGGGAAAAATTTAGTCAACAATTACCAAATGGTGTTAAATGTTTAACTTTTTTAACATTTATGAAAGGTAAACAATATATTTATTGAGAAGATTTAGGAGGACTGTTCAATCTGTAGCCGATATGGTTATGAAATTTTTGCAGAAATGAAGCAATTTGTTGAAACAAATATTCAAAATCACAATTATCAAGTAAGAAATTTTTATAATTTGTTTTATTTATATAAAATAATATATATTCAATTATTTATATAATATTTATTCTTATAAATAAAGAAATACTATATTGATGAGATAGAAAATTTGTGTTGGTATTTAAAAAAATTTTATGAACAAGAACTTAAAATTTCTGCAAATAGAACTGTAATTCATGATGAATGTATTAGCCATTACCTTCCATATGCTTTTGGTACTTGTAAAGGATTATTTAATAATGAATGTACCAAATGTGGAAAATTACTTACAATTTTTTATAAATTAAAGGTAGACATTCCAACTATATTACACAATGAATTAGATGAGTATCTAGAACATCTTTTATATTATCTCGCTTATCAAACAAGAAAAGTTTACCTAAATTCTCAATTTAATGAAAATTTATTAGAATTAGATGAAAAAGGTGCACTTATTATTGTTGACTATAAAAATGAAGATATTACCAAAAAGTTTTCGTGAAACAAAAGAACAATTCTTTGGTAAAAAGGGTTGGACTCTTCACTCAGTATTGGTATATACACAAAAAAAAAATTCTCTTGAACTTGATATCCAAGCACATGACCATTGGTCTGTTAGGAATTGCCCTAATATTTAGACTCGATTAATCGTCCCTATTGGCCGACGATTAATCGCGATTAATCGCCGAGTCCAAAATCGTGAGTCCAGAATCGTGATTATAATCGTGAGTCCAGAATTTTGATTATAATCGTGAGTTGAGAATCGCGATTAATCGTCGAGTCCAGAATCACGATTAAAAACGTCTATGAAAAAATCGTGCAAAAAATTTGGTACACGATTTTTTTACTGACGTTTTTCTTTAATTTAGAATAACTCCGCAAATATCAATGCTATCGGAATGAAACACATATAATTTTATAGCTAAGAATAAGGCCTTTCTTTCTATCTTAGAAATATCTTAGTAGAAAATCACTCCACGCTTATAAATCGCGAGCGAAGTCGAAAAACGTGAAATCTCTGGAAATTTATGCGTTTTTTTTACGTTTTTTCGATTTCGCTCGCGATTTATAAAGCGTAGAGCAATTTTCTACTAAGATATTTCTAAGATAGAAAGAAAGGCCTTGTTATTAGATACAAAATGATATGTGTTTCATTCCGGTAGCATTGATGTTCGCGGAGTTATTCTAGTTTAAAGAAAAGCGTCCGTGAAAAATCGTGCAAAAAATTTTGTACCCGATTTTTTACTGCCGTTTTTTTTTTAATTTAGAATAACTCCGCGAATATCAACGCTACCAGAATAAAACACATATTATTTTGTAGCTAATAACAAGAGCTTTCTTTCTACCTTAGAACTATCTTAATAGAAAATTCCTCTACGCTTTATAAATCGCGAGCGAATTCGAAAAAAAATAAAAAAAACGCATAAATTTCCAGAGATTTTCACGTTTTTCGACTTCGCTCGCGATTTATAAAGTGTGGAGCGATCTTCTACTAATATATTTCTAAGATAGAAAGAAAAGCCTATTCGCGGAGTTATTCTAAATTAAAGAAAAACGTCAGTAAAAAATCGTGCACCAAATTTTTTGCACGATTTTTTCACGGAAGCTTTTCTTTAAACTAGAATAACTCCGCGAATATCGATGCTACCGGAATGAAACACATATCATTTTGTATCTAATAACAAGGCCTTTTTTTCTATCTTAGAAATATCTTAGTAGAAAATTGCTCTACGCTTTATAAATCGCGAGCGAAGTCGAAAAAACGTAAAAAAAAGCAAAAATTTCCAGAGATTTCACGTTTTTCGACTTCGCTCGCGATTTATAAAGTGTGGAGCGATTTTCTACTAATACATTTCTAAGATAGAAAGAAAGCACGCACATCTCCATTTTTTTGTTTATGTGAGCCCCATATCGTCCAAATATTTGAAATTAATGGCCATCAATTTTCATCAAAATTTCTCATCGGAATTTCTAAAGAGCAAGTTACATCAAATAATAAACACCGTTTTTCTTCTGGCGTGAGATTTGTTAGTGGCGAACTGGTAACAGTGGTTCTATTTCTTCCATACTATTTCTATTTTCAAGCTTATTGTTGAAAAAAAGTGATGAGGAATATGAAGGGCAAGGCAAGAGATTTTCAAATACTTATTGCTGAAAAAAAATTTAAATAAAAAAAAAGATAAAGAAATAATAATAAATGAGGAATATGAAGAGCAAGGTAAAAGAAAGTTTGTTTAATCCACGCGTATAATAATATGTAAAGAAAAATAAATAAATAAAATACGAAAAAAATAGAACAATAAAAAAAAAAAGAATAGTTTATTTTATTGGTTGATTTGTCATGCATAGTTATGATAATATCACATCATATAATTTACTATCACAAAAGATCATATGATTTGTCTCCGCTTTAGACATCCCCTAAAAATAGTAAACTATTTTAAATTTGATGATTTCAGATATTTGTATCCTAGATGAGCACGTGAATATATTTTCTTAAATTCTGATTAGCTAAAATCATATCATGTGATGTTTACATAAATTCATCTTTCTGGTGTTCCTCCTGGAACAGTGGCGGTGTAATAATAAAAAAAAAAAGATTACCGCAAAAATTGCAACGAAGATAATCATAAAGATTATACCAATATTCTGGAGATGAGCAGATTCCAATAAAAGAATCCTGGAATTTTGGCCATCAAGTACTTCGCTGGAGGAATTTTCATTTTCATTCCAAAAACATTTATAGTTTGATTAACTATGACGAAGTTAACATTGGTTTCCGTTATTTGCCTGGTCAACCGTCTTACATTTTACCTGATCGTCAGTCTTATTTATACTTTCGTTATACTTTGAAATAATTTAATCAGTTTCGTCTAAAAATTTAAAGTTTTGAAAATCATTTTCAAAAGAAATGGGTGAATATTTATTTAAATATTTAGGATTATTCTTATCAATTACAAAAAACTCGATTATTATAAATAGTTAATTATTTCTAAAAATCTTTTAGAAATTGTTTAATAGAACATTTTACACAACCGTTCCTACGTATATGATCTTTTTTATTACATTTCGTAGCTCTTAATGCTACATTGCCATTTTTCGATTTTTTGTTGGGGTTTCTACAGTAAGGTTCTCCACCCTTTCTATATCTAATGAGTCTCCTAATAATTCTACCATTTTTTTCGAAAGTTACATATGTTTTTTTTCTCTCATAAATTACATCTATTATTTCATGAATATGAGGCTTAAAATTTGACGGAAGATCATCCACAAAGATATGACTTTCAGGGTTTATTTCAATTCGATAATGCCTAAGCGTATCATAAGCACCTAAGCTTTGTTTGTTAACGATATATTTACTTTGCTCATCCGATTGAAAGTATGAAAGGATTTCAATCCATATATCAACATTGAGTTTTTTGATCATTTTTTTCTTCTCTAAAAAATGAAATAAAAAAGATTAGTGAACACTAAATAAGAAAAATGAACTCTAGCAAGGATGCAATCAATAGATCCATCCGCCTTTATGAACTACATAACAATCAGGAAGGCGATTAGTCAACCTTTCCAATTATTACCTCGTCCTGTTACAGCGATTCAATGCTCTGGGCGCAAGCTCACTCTGTAGCAGAGGTCTTTCTTTTCCTTAAAGAAAATTAACTATAAAGTCATTATCGAATACATTATTCTTACCTGTAATAATGATGAACAAAAGTTATTTATAATTGTGAACAGGAATATTTATAATTCTTATCACTTAAATAGACATATTGGTATTACTTATTAAGTGCTTAAATAGATGCTGATCAGACCCAAAAAGGATAGTCCTAATTTTTGCCGACGTACAGCAACAATGAATTTTCAATATAACTTTCTGAAGATAATCAAAGATAATGCACGTTTTATACATAATCTAAATAAACAATACATTTTACGAAAAACGTGAGTTGAGTGCAATCTTTATATATACTATAATTTACCAATATTAAAATGGATAAATTAATAGATGAAAAAAGAAGTATTCTGTGATTTGTTTAACAATATTCTCAGCAGATTTAGAAAATGATCAAATACACTTGTAGTGAGTATTCGGTTAAAATATTTGTTGCAATAACTATTAAGTTTAAATAAGATATATAAATGCTGGTACAATGTATATTACATAATCAAAATTATTTTTGTACTGTCTTCATACATGTTTATTTAAGTATTTTTATCACACTTTTTAGAATAAATATAATTTGTGTTAATATTGAACACGTTATTTTTTTTTCATAAATGGATAAAGTCATAAAACGGTTTTATTCTATTAAATCTTTTGGAATGCTTCCTCAAATGACCTTTTGTGCGCAGAAACTGAATGAAGTTTTTGGTGGCAGTAGCTGTTGTAATATTTCATGTCGGAGTTGAGCGTGAATATATTGTTGCTCATAACGCGAATATTGAGGACCAGAATATTGTTATTATACAAATATATGTAATAATTTCTTGTTCATCATTCTATTCTTTTAAAAAATATCTTAAACCCAAGAAGTTTCGCGTGTAGTATTTGATGAATTAGATTTTTTTTCTTGTACAGTATCATTATTATTTTTATTATTATTTAAACAGATCAAAACATTATATCATTACATTAGTTAAACTTGAGAACTTATTATTGTTATATTACAATTATTTATCTATGTGCAAAGCACTATGAATAAAGGATTTTCATACAGAACAAGTTTTAATCTGCCGAGAAAAAGAATATGCGTATAATATTTGTGGACTTTTAATTTATCCTTTTACAGAGTACATATAGAATCGTGTCAGTTCAAGTTTTATTTAAAAGAAGATTACTGTAAAACTCTCATTGTCTGTATTATTTATAAATTAGTTGGACAATATAACAATATATTGTTATAATCGGACTTCGATACGTAAGATAATGTATACCAGAATTTGAAAAGTAAATATTTGATGATAATTGTGTTTGCCTAATAATATTCCTTATACCTGTTCCTATAAGTGACCTCTTAAAGTGAGGTGACGAATTATTTCAAAGTTATATGACGTTAGAATTAATATACTGTACATATAAGGCACAATCAATTTTAGATGATATTGTTAGTCATTAAAAAAAAATTTTATCCATTTCCATATTGTTTTGGGATTCCGAATAATAAAGATAATAACTTATGACATGCAAAGCATGCAAAGGCAATTTAGTATAATTATGCTTTGTACTCAGCAGATTAATTAGTATACATAATAGTTCTTATATCTGAAAATCTGCTAATCATGATTTAGTGGCTGAGAATCATATGTTTTAATTTCACATCTTATTAAGCAAATACAATTTCACAATTTAATCTGCTGGGCATAATCTTATTTTAGTTACTTATTTTTAACTCATTCATGATTATGTAAACGTACTAAAAAAAGATTTTACAAAGGAAAAAATAATGTGAAAAATAAAACAAGACCTCGTTTTATTTTGCACGATTATTACGTCAATGATCTAATAACGTTTACGATTTAATTACAATAATTTGAAGAGTGATCAAAAAACGAAATTCAAAATTACAATAATCTTTATTTTTCAAAGAGTAGCAAAGAAACAACAGTAAACTTGGAAAATTAAAAATTTCCTCTTTTTACATGACCATTGTGAGAGTTTAATTAAAAAAAATGTCGAGAAATGAAAAAAGACAAAGTGATAACTTATTACCTGATGGGCTATAAACAAAGCAATAGAAATCACCCACTGGACCGACATCTTCATCACTGTCCTCTTCCATTGAGATAGAATAGAATATATTGGTATCTTTCAAAAATTCTTTTAAATGACCTATTACTTCACCAATTTCTTTCTTAACAGATTTGTATTTAACATAGTAAAAGTAATCGGAAACAAATACTTTCGTATCTCAAGAATAATTTCCCTTACGACTGTTATATTTATTTTTTTGTGATTATCAATAATTTCATATAAAGAATTCTTTGTAATTAATTTATTACAATAGTATTCAGTTAAACTTGTAACCGTTTTTATACAGCTAAAGACATGTGGATTATATATCAAATGAAGTGTATTCAAAATTTTTTGGACATATTATCTTTTATTTTAAAAAGACATATATTTCTGCTTTAAGTATAGGTTAGTATAATTATTTTTCATATATTATATTATATTTTATATTTTATATACAGAAATTAAAAAATTCTAAATTATTTTTATATTTATTTAGTTACATATCAACTTTTTTTAATAAACAATTTTAATCTGCTACGAGCATAATCTCACATATCAATAAACCCATTTTAAGAACACAAAGGTCGTATCAGATTTTGGCGTTATCATCTCCCGTAACTCCGCCCATTTTCGTGCCACCTCAGTATTTATCAGATTATCCTTTTGTACAAGACAAAATGGCAAGGAAATTTTGAATTTGTAGTTAATGAATATATATATGCTTCTTGCCTATTGCAGATTATAATAGATATTTTCGGATAAAACCAGTTATAATGAACAAAATAAACATATATCTGCATGAATATCTGGATTCTGAATCAAGCATTACAGAATGATATGCACTAAATCATCTCATTACGTTTGGCGTTTGGTGTGGTGTAACAAAATTCAAATGAATTTTCTACCAGTTTATAAACTCAGCAGATTAATTTAGTACTCCGCATGCTTTGTACAGTATATTATATAATTTATGTACTTCTCGAAATATAAATACTTTCTTTGGTCAACCTTTCTTCTCAAAAAAAAAAACCATGAACAATTGAATTCTTTTAATTCAAAATTTACATCATGAAAAGTCGAATCATTAACCGGATTATATAATATTTTCTAGGTAGGAGGAAGCAATATCCTGATTGGTTTGAGAATTAAAGTATTCATAAAAACTTGGAGAGACAATTGGATAAGAGTATATCTTGAAGATGTGAAGGTACGAAATTATAAATCGCGAACACTTTAATTAATTATTTATTTATTAACTAAATATTTCTAATATATTTAGAATGCGATATGTAGAATTAAATATGTGAGGATTGGTATGAAAATTTCCAAATAAAGCTTGAGGGAAAAGAGGAAAGGTAAGAACTTTATTTTATTTTTGATTTATTATTTTTTTTACTAACTTTATTTTTAATATTTAATGAGCGAACCATGCCATGTCACCTAGTAAAATAATCTGGTAAGCAATACAGTTAATAATTAAATATATTTAAACAAATAATTCATTGTTCATGGTTTTATTTAATTAATTTGAAAATTTGTTGGTTATCTTTATGAGCCTTTTAACATACTGTAAGTGATAATTTTGCGAGAATCAAATTTAAATTATTATCATTATTATCTCTCGAATTGTGAATATTCTCGTTAATAATATTTACAAGTCTCATGTTTTTTTAATAAAGAATTCAAATTTATAAAATGAAGTTTACCACAAAGACATTCATCTTTCTTGCTATCTTCTGTCTTATTGTTATTGCTGTTGTTTCCCAGTAAATTTTTTTCTAATTAAATTTTATATAATTTTAATATTTTAAGTAATAAAATTTAAAGAATAAATTTTATATAATCTTTGTAGACAACCAAGTGGAGCCCCAAGTGTAGGATCAAGTCCAATAACAAGTTTAATACTAACAATAAAAAGCATATCTACAGTTTCTACGTAAGTTTATTATTTATTAAAAAAATGTTTATTTAAATTAAAATGTAACAATTTATTTATTTGAATTATTTGATATTATTTTTTAGTACAGTAATAGGTGCAATGGTTCTAATCTTTATTGCAAATTTTATTTTTCATAGAAAAAAAGAAATGATGTTCGCGTTCTTGATATAGCTGGTAGCAGATAATGTTAGAGATTTTGAAATTAGAACCGAGAATTAAAGAAGATGAAGCTTGAATAATAATTGTTGAATGATCATATTTTTAAAAGAATTGTATCTTTTAATTCGTAATCCATGTATTAATATACTATGCAAATTTTCGTTAATTCAGAAATTTGATATGTATGGAAAAAACTCAACGTAGACTTTCATTTTTAGTAACAGTTTTCATTAAAGATCGTAAGTAAAAATATAATGACCAGATCCTAAATTCAATGTCTGATAATCCAAAATATATTTGTTAAAATATCCAGCCCTACTTATTAATACAAATATTTCCAATAACAATAATATTATTAATACCACGTTGCATATATTGAAAAGAGAATCCATTATGAGCGGAAAGATGTTTCTCGATAAAATTTTAAATTCAAAAATTATTAAGTAAAAATGTTTATTAAAAAATTTGTAAGGAATTTTGTTGCTTTTAAGATAGTTTCTTGAACAATTATATAAGCTGAACAGGATCTATTGTACCAGAATTAATACAATACTAAAATAACTTTTGTAACGATATCTCAGCAGATCAAAGTTTTTAATATTCATGATTACACAGCGTACACAAAAGTAGTAGAACAGATACAATTCTCAATTTGGAAATTCCTTCTGTATTAAAATGGATACACTAATAATTGATGTTGAGTAAAATGGTTGTAACAAAATACTTCACAGCAATTTTTTTGTGATGAATATCAATTTCTTAAATAATCTTTTCTCAAATTTTTTCTTGGAGACGGCCAAAAATCGTTGTAATCAGAATTAATGCCTTCGTCTAAATGCAAATTGTTTACTTCAACATAATAGTTTTCAAAATTTTTATTTAACAGTATGCAGTTAAATTGAAGGTATGTCATGTAATTTTGGCACTACTTTGTTCTTAATTTTAATTCTTGCGCGTTAGTTTTGAAAATTTAACTCGTTTTTTTACATAAAAGGAATATAATATTTGTTACAATAATAAAACCTGTCCATCACCTAGAATGTATCACTGTGACGCACTTCACGCCATCCACGAATAAATAACAATCAGAACGCAGAATCGCGATCGGATTATTTTATAATAATAACAAAGTGCATCTCATAAATTTTAGGCTTGATAGTGACTTGATAATATATTTATTCTGTGAAAAAAAAGAATAAAATGACACCTTAATTTTAAATTCATTTATTATTTTTCTTATTTTTTTTACATTTTCAAAACCCGAAAATCGTTTCCTTTTTCTGTTAATTCCCGATATACCTTCCTTAATTCATTATACTGCGATTGTAAATATTTTTATTCTTCATAAATGAGATTAGATCTTTTAGAATACTTCAAATGATATGAAGTTTTGGTGGTAGTAGCTGTTGTAATATTTCATGGAGTTGAAAATGAATATATTGTTGCTCATAACGCGAATTTTGCGGTCCAGAAATATTGTTATCATAATAATCCAGTGAAACAAAAGTTAACATATTGCAAATCCATTCAAAATATTGTTGTTCAGAAACATATAATCTGTAATCCAATAAACTTAGAAATTCCTTTTCCATTGTATTTATTTCAGTAACGGGAATGTTAACAATATTCGACCAAGTTTTATTAGAATAAGTGATATCATCCAAAAATTTGGTGGCTAACATGAGAGCACTAAAAAACACTCAGTATTCTGAACCAGTTTGACCTTCTAATGAAGGATAGTTAATTTTTATTCTTGCAGTATATAGCAAAGAATTAAGAATAACAGAACGTGAAATTTTGGTCTTTGAAATTATATTGCAACAGAATTTTTTAAATGCATCAGTGGGCCGATAGTCCAAACAATTTCCAAACCATAGGAAACACGTTACTTGAGCAGCAAAGTCTGACAAACGTTCTAAATAAACTTTTTCAAACAAAGGCATGAGTGAAATTTTTTTTGTTGAAGTTTATTGTGTTGAGTTATCGTTGAAAAAAAAGATGTTAAAAAAAAAACAATTTTTTGCAAATATAAAAGGTAATCGCTTGTAGGGCCTATCTATCATATTGCAAAGAGCGATATCCAAAAATTCACGTTATTTACTTTTTATACGAACAAAATGTTTAAAGAGACTACTATTTTGAGTTTGGTGTTAACCAAATAACATATTTGTGTAAGAGTAAAGACAATTATCTTTCTGTTTACAAAATAAATACCGAAATGCTAATCTTACAGCATTTTGTAAAATAAGATGTTAATTAAATAATCAGGTGGTCATCTAAAGTTTTGATCATTCTACTGTCTTCACTGACTCCACTTTTACGTCTGTTTGGAGAATAATTACTCACAATATTATTTTCATTATTTTCGGATAAAGGAATGGTGTTTTTTACGTTAATGTGTGTATTTATATTTGAGGAATTTGCCATGGTAGAATTGAAAGTAACATCAATTGATTCAATAGAAAGATAGATTTTATTAGAATTTGCAGCATAAGAACTATTTTTAGCTTGATATTTATAATTCGGATATAGTTTTCCATGGTATTTTGAAGCAGTATCGGATAAAAAATAAAAAAAGTTTTTAATATCACTAGACACCGTTCTCTATTTTCTGTCTATTTCTCCTGAAATTACTCTTTGATTCCTGCAAATGTTATCATGTTTATATTTAATATAATATTTACGATGGATTATGAACGGGTACATAGGGCGTGGAGGTCGATTATTATTTCTATTATTTCTTTTTTTAGGCTTAATGAGTTCAAATAATGAATCGATTCCAAGGTCGATTGGTATATTTGTACGTTTTCTTATTTCATTTTCGAATTTGTTTTTAAAACTACTTGAATTCATTTTTTTGAAAAGGATCTCATAATTAAACGATTTATAAAATTTTATCGTTGTATTATTTTACTATTGTTATACATTCAAAATAATGTTAAATCTGCTAAGATAATGAAATTGTTACAAAGATGCGAAATCAATATTGAAATTTCAAAACAGTACAAACTAATTAATTATATTAACTAACAAAGAGATATATTATTTGACTATTGTCCTACAAATCTGATACTTTAAGAGCATTATTGATAACTTTAATTGGAAAATCGCCATATATTATTTTATCAGCAAGAACAATAAGAACCAGTTGCTAATCGAATAAATTGATTGGATTTGGTAAAAGAAATGCATCGCGGGTTTTTATTTTTGAATGAATTTTCAAAATAAATAAAAAAAAGATGATGCAGGTGACAAATATAAGGTTTGACAAATCCATTAAATAAGTATATTAAAATTTGAAAATCTTTGTCCAGGTGATGCAATACTTTTGATCGCTACTGTATGTAAGATTATTCTTTTTTGTCTCAATTAATCTGCTGAGTTTTTTAATGAGCCAAATAATACTATTTCTATTTATGCTATGCAAAGGTAATATATAATACTATATAATACTCATCTTAGGTTACTCAACAGTTTACTTCAAACCTTTTTTAATGATATAGACTCCGATAATAGTCCCTTTAAAAAACTCAGCAGATTGATTAAAACATCTTCTTAAGATAAGCATGTATACACAAACAGTAAATAATGATACATCAATAGTAACATCATATATGAATTGTAATACAAAATATATCCATAACAAGATTCATTTCATCGTTTTAATATAATACAAAAGAAAAAGGTATTGTTGTTTCATTATTTTTATTTAAGTATTAAAATACTTTTATTTACTCACTCCAGAGCATAATTTATATTATTCAATGTATTTAAACAATAGTGATATTTTAATAATATTTCTCTATGGCAAGAACTTGATATATTATAACGTCTGTTCGTATATTTATTATTTAGGTTGATAATATTTTCTTTTTTGAAACTACCAAGGTCTAAGGATAATATGCTCAACCAGTGTCTATGTTAATGGCGTTCCGTGCGTAATGCTTACAATTATATAAGAAAAACAATAGAGGTTAAAATAGATGTATCAAAAATGATACCTTTGCAAAGGTCACCAACAATGACAATCAAAAGTAGCATGAATAGTGAATCCAATAAAGATCTGTTCTTGGACAATTTGTAATCATTATATTTTACGAAATTTTGCCTTATTTAAAATGATTTCTTCATTGGTGTGGAAATTTAAAAAAAAACTTAGAAGGTAGCCATTTAGATAACAATCAAGATTTAATTTTGATAATAAGTTTGATTTATTATAATTAGTAATGAATGGTATTTATTACATCATTTCAATTTTCATATCTCAAAAATATAATTAAATAAACTTGCTTTTTGGAATCCAATCACGTAATTCATATTATTTTATAAAGACAATATCACTAAAATATATATTTTCGATCAAATTAGAAACAATAAATATTGCTCTAACAGGATATAATAATTAATTCATCTGGATCAATTGTATTTGTGTTCTAGGCAGGGTTTATAAATAAATATCATTCTGATGACTGCTGCTCTTTTTAATAACTCATAGATTTCTGTACTTTTTTCAGTAAAATAAGGGTTCTGAAAAAAAATGTCTGAATTTGAAAACATGGAAATAAGTTTAAAAATATTATTTTAACTTGTAAATTTGCTGTAAAAATTATTGCTTGATGTATTTTTTTTGTTTTTTTTTTACAAGATCGATGTTGCTGAGACTAGATTTACATTACCTGAAATAAAAGAAATCCATACTGAGGGAACTATTAATTTAGTAATGGTTGGTCCTTGGGGGGTTGGTAAATCAACTTTTTCTAATACTTTGTTCAAAACTAAAGATTTCACTGAAAACCCTATAAGTGATATCTGACCTAAGAATACTCAAACTAAAAATATTAGAAATGTAATCCGCGATGAGGGATTAGGAAAGTACCGAAGAATTAATATTATTGACACTCCGCCACTTAGCACATTTGATGTAGAGTCAGAAGAAACAATAATAGATGAAAAATCATAATAATTGATTATTACAAGAAGTTAAACAATAAATTAACTTACATTCTATTCTTAATCTGTGGCACTGGGCCTTTGGAAGAGTATGGTGCAAATAATACAAGTAATGAAATGGAGAGAAATTACTTAATAAAATTGAGACAAAAAGAACAAATTGGATTAAATGACGACGAGACGAAAATATACAAAAAACTAAAGCCAAAATTACTAAGAGCTGATGAAGTGAAAACCTATAAAAAACTGAAAGAAAACTTAGAAAATTCAAGTATTTATGATTGCAATATAATCATTGTCGCTACTCGTTTTGTTAATTTCAGCAATATTAAAAGCAAATCTGGACGTTACGATGAAATATTGAAGGATAGTTTCAGTTGCGAAAGGCTCTATGTCAATAACCCACCTGTTGATAACTTACCGCCTCATTTAACTGAAGCTAATGAAACGATAAGGGAAATATCTCGAGAAAAGTTTTTCAAAGATTTTGATGATATAATTAAGAAACCTTCTTTTGGGTGAAGTTAAAAATAATAAAACTCCAAACGCTGAAATAAACAGTTTCTTTGGCTATTAGTGAGGAAAGCTATTTCATTAGTTTTAATTATATCTTATTTAATTAATATTACTCAGCAAATAATCCAGTTTCTTCAAGAATGTAAAATATAAATAATTAGATATAAAATAAAAATAATTCGAATTCTGCAAAGTAATACAATGTTTTTACTCAGCAAATTAATTCATATAAATAGTTTAGTATCTCAATCTTTTTATATTATGATATAAAATACCCAACAGATTCGTCCAATACGTTTATTTCAAGACCACTGAAAAAATTTCTTAGGAGATCTTGTACGTATTTAGCAAGAGACCAGAAATTTGATGTCACAAGATGTCATTTCTATACTGCAGAAATAGTATTGGAGATAAAAACATTACATAGTTTATTTATTATTTACCAATAAGTCTTTTCTCATTCTAAATAAAGATTAACATCAACTAATTTTTTTTTTACTTGTAAATTTCTTCTAAATATTAATTTTCTGTTTGTAACTTGCATGCATGACTATATATAGTCTTTTTCTCAGCAGATGCACATACATGCATAAGATTGTTACTCAAATTTAACGCCCATTTGCATATTTTTAATGTATTGCCTTGAGTTAGGGTCATAGTCCGTTGTGGTTCTTTTACTTCTATATATTCTTTTGAGTATGGCTGTAATAAAGAATATTTGATTAGACATTTCATTTTCTTATTGGACATTGCTTTATCTTATCAGTGACATCTGTGATATGGGTCGTGAGTTTTTGTGTCTTCATTTTCCTCATATTTTCTGATGTATTATCAAGTGTTTGTTCTTGTCATTTACTTTCCTTTCCTTCAATTTTTGTATCTTTCCATAGATTAGTGGCCTTCGTTGGTAGTATCACTAATCACCCTTGAGTTTTGACCTCCCTCTGGTTGTTCCTCATAATTTTATATTGATATTGTTACTATGATTAGCTTGTAGTTTGGCAAATTTAGGTTTATTATAACAAAAATGGATTCTCTTTTGTTACGGATGTAATATTATAATAAATGTCGATCTCCTCAAATTAAATGATCAAACATGCACTTGTTTACTCAGCAGATTAATTTAAAGTCACAGTTAAAACTTAATTATTTTTAAATGAGTACTATATATTACCTTTGTGTGGCATAAATTATTTGGGCTTCCATAGAAGACTCAACAGATTAATTAAACATTAAATAAATTAATAAGATCATTTACAATTGTAAATTCCAAATCGAACGTGCATTCAAAATGGATAAATTAATTATAAAAGATTTCAACTTCTCCTGTAGAAATTTTGAGAAAGTCAAAATTAAACTACGGACATGATTTTCTGAAGGGAGTGTTGAATACATAAATAGTAAGATAAATCTAAAAATAGGTAACCTGCCTAAATAAACAATATTTTCTTTGTCTGAATACATATAATGCATGCATATTATCAATAATTTATATTTTTTTGGATTTCATAAAAATTTTGTCAAAAGACAAACATGAGTATTATATTACCTTGCATAACATAAATTATTACTTCCGATAATAGTCTTTTTAAAAAACTCAGCAGATTAAAGAATAGTCAGAGTTGGTGGTTACAGGGATTACTTAATATTACAAGTTGGCAAATATCCATAAACAAATGTGAGTCAAAATTCAGAGCTTTAGTTACTTTATCCAAATATACGCAACAAGTTTATATTTAAAAGCATTTGGTGCATTTCACTGTATGCGGTTAGGAAAAGTTTTCATAAAAAGGACGATTTTTTTTATGTAAAGACTGTTTTGAAGCTATTTTCTTCAAAAAAAATGTAATATCTCCATCTTATTTGGCAAATGGAGTCCTGATTTCAATATTCATGACTTTAAATTTTGCAAACTGCATACATATTTACTCTGTTTATTAAAAAATAACGCCAAACCCACATTTCAAAACTCGGCTGATTAGTAATACATCAAAGTTAAAATTGGGAGTGCAAACAAATCCATTTCTTTTCCGAATCTAACCATAAAGTCGTTCCATAAAGACCTTTCTTGAGAATGTTCTCTGCGTGAAACATTCCCAATATCAAAAGTAAGTTGTAAACTTTTTTTCAATTTAACTTGTTTATTATGTCTATTTAGAAGTATTTCAAAATTTTATTTAAGACCTTAACTTTTGAACTGAGTTTCAAGCATTCATCTTTAGATTTTCTCAATTGCAAATTTCAAATTACAAAAAAAAAATGTCCAATTTTGATAGTTTTATCTTTTTCTTTCTATTTGCACAACCACTCTTATTGATTCTTTCTTATAAAATTTCGCATAAAGTTTCAAAATTATTTGATGAGTTTACGAAGACCATTACTATAGTAAGTTTTTTAATTTGCTTTAAATTCTAATATCTAAATTCTAATCTATATTTTCAATTACAGTTATCGTCGTCTATTATGACAATAGAAATATTACTCATTAAGTATTAATCGAATGAAATGTTGGAATCGATTAGGATTATTCTTAAAAAAAGAAGCTTACCATTAATTTCCAAATTTATTCAAGAATACAATATATTTTGAGAACATTAAAATGTAAGTAATTTCTAATTTGTTCGAATAATATCTCAATTTTGATAAAAAGAGATTCCGAAATGGCTAGTTCAATGCTTTCAAAAAAACATTTGCGATTGCACAATTATTTCGGAGAAATTAACTTTTTATATTACGCCCATTTCGAATTATTTGTAAATAAAAATTCTGAGTTAATGTAAAATTGAGTGACAAACATACTTCGAGCTCAATATGCAAGATTACAATAAAAATGATGTAAAATACAATAGCAAATATATTATTCATAATTTCGTTATGAATAAACTTGTCGACGTTAAAAATCACCAATTGAAAAAATATAATTATTATGCATAATCTTACACATTATACAGTGTGTTACAAAGTCTTTGGACAAATTTATTAGGTTATTACGTAACAACGGAGACATTAAAAGTAATTCCTCTAAAACAAAAAGGCTAGTTTTTCCTTGTGTACAAAATTCACCCCAGGAAAAATTTTTTTGGTCTTTTGGCATGCAACGAACTGGACAGAACATTTATTATTAGAAGCATTATAATCTTTGAATGCTGCACTAAAAAGATAAACTCTTTAGTGAACAATGGATTTAGGATAAGAATATAAACAAATGAAAAGAAGACGACGTAACAAAAGACAATATTCCCAGTATGAAATAACACAATACAAATATTTCCTTTGAAGTAGAAAGATGTATTTGTAGTAGTAAAATATGAACTTGGCAATGGTAATGATTGACTTATAATTGATTGAATCTAATTGACCATAGATTGATGAAATTGGTGAAGGTGAAATAGAGTTATAATATAGATTCATCTTTGATTAATCTTTATTATTATTATTGTTCATAGCGTCACTATGATAAATTATGTCACGGGTGTTTCTCCGTCCCATAACGTGATATTTAACCAATGAGAACGTGATTCTTATTTTTAAATCATTTTAGATTATCCTCATTTTTATTAAATGTACTGCTCCGAACTTACAACGGTTCCCGTTTCCTAGTAATAAGTAGATGACGATGGTTTATTGAAACAAAAATTCGAAAGTTTATTTGACGTGAGGATAATCTTCGTGAAAATCTTTACTATTATTTACACAAATCATCTTGTATTTGTTTACCCTCCAAGTTTTAAATATTTATATTAAATGAATGACATTAATTAACTAATTAAAATAACAGTAGTGACACGTCATCCTGTATTTTGTTCATAAACAGAAAAAACTACAAGATGTTTAAATTTGGATGTCACTCATTTGATATTTTTATATCACATATTTGACATATAAGCATGATATTTGTATAAGATAAAAAAGATGAAATAGACGAAATAGACGAAACAAAAAAAATAACAAAAATAATTTTCTAAGAGCTTCAAACAAAATTTTTACAAATATTTTATTATGGTATTTATCCAAATTAATTTTATTTGTCAATACTAGAAGACGAGCTTTATTATTTTTCGTGAGTTATATATTTTAATTCTTTGCATTAAAGAACATTTGTAAATCGGATAAAATTTTCATATGAAATGGAAGCAGTATTGATGGTCCCATCCAAATTCTCCGATGAGGGTAATTTTGAAAGTTAAAGTTATATGCCGCAGTCCGGTTCGAATCAAGGGTCCAACCAATGACTTTTGAACCGTACGAACCGACAACATCCCTAATTAAAATAATTTTCTTTTGGATATTCTTCACTTAAATCAGAAAACAATGGTCGAAATTCATAATGGTCAAAAATAATAAAAATTAAATCGCAAATTCCTTATCGAAATCCAAAAATGTTTTGAGTACGACAAGAAACCGTCTATTGTTTACCGATTTATGTCTTTCACAATCGCTGACCATAATGAATTAAGAAATCTATTGTTTTGGGTTTCAATATAGTTAACAATGTTAATTTCTAGATAAACAATAGTGAAAGAGATTCATAATTATAGAATGAGAAAACAGAGCCTACAATATCTTACATCACCAGATTAAATTCTCACAATTTAATTACATCGTTTTCTAATTCGATCGAATAATAGATAATTGTTAAAAGATATAATAATTAGGCTTTTCTAAACAAAAAATACGAATAAAAATTTTTCTTTGTTATATTATAAATAACTAAAGAATCAATCGTAGTAACGATATGACAAATTTTATCGGAGAAAAGGTTTTTTTCTCTAAACACAAATTGACCTTTGATAATGATATTCGTAACAATTCTAACGCAAATATCAATAGACCGAAAGTTTGGGCAATGGTACTGTACTATAAATCGTAATTTTAATGTACTCTTCTTATTTAATAATTTCAATTACAGACACGTCAAGAATTGTGCGAAACAGTTCCGTACTTTAAATCATGGAATGGTGGTGTTTACTATAAGAATGGTGTAGTTTGGGGATACTTATTGGATGGTTTTGGTGCTTGCGTGACGTTTGTAATGGACGTGTAATAATTTCCCATGGGTATTTTTAGATTACATTATAGTCCATAAATGAATATCAATATACTATTCTAATACTAATATTATTTAGCGGTGGGAAGAGCTATAAACGTACGGATGGAAGTTTCGGCCTTGCTGCGTCACAGATGTTAACAGATGTATCTGTTCGATCTTTATTAAAAAATTATATGAATAAACAACCATTGACATTACTCGTGGGGCGTGCTGAATTTAGAATTCCGGCGCGTTATTGTGTTCTTGGGTGAGTCAGGAATTCTTTATGTTATTTATAGTATTAAGAAAACTCACTTTTAACAAATTTTCCTTTTAGATTATATCCTATTACACATGTTTGGGTTCGTATATTTAACTTGATTATAAAGTTTTTAAATATATTTCATGTTCAATGCACTTTCAATTTATCAATTTCAGCCAGAATATGTTATTGAATACCTACGGACGAAGGAAAAATTACGGATGAGGAAAATGTTATCGATGAAATTTTACCTATCAATCGAGAAAATTTCGGTGAAAAGAATCACGAAGAGAATCAAATAAAGAGTCGAGAAAATGGGAAAACAAAATTTATTCGTTGGATGTTTCGATTTGAATGGTTACCAAATCAAGAATTCATACCTTGGTGGGAATCTCTACAGAAAATTACGCAATCTTAACAGATGAATTAATTTCGATTGTCTGTCCAGAATGTGGACTTCCGTCAAATAAGATATATGAAGATTTATGGATTTGTCTAAATCACAATTGTAAACATTTTTGGAAGATAATATTTCTTTTTCGTATATCCATATATAAATATAAATATCCTAATATATTCATTTATTTATTTATAGTCCCTATCCGTAGATTTCATATGGGAAAATGCGCCAGAAAACTTAGATTGCGTGAAATCGTTTTTAAGCCCAGGATTATTAGATACTAATCAATGAATACAAAATCCTTTTTCATTAATACCTCCTCAACCACAAAGTGATTCAATGGTCTCATTGATCAATCTTTCGACTCACAACATTGGAAAGGTTATCACTGTCTTCGTTGTGGACGTATTTCTTGTCGAACTAGTTGGAAAGAATGGATTTGTGCTAATTGCGGGGTAAGCGAGGCAATGTCCCGATATTTTAAACCAATACGCGAGGAAAGAAAAGAAAAATGGAAGCGGAATTAAATGTAGTAATGACACTATACTTTCCAACTGATGTTGGAACATATGAATCACCACTTTCGATTCCGAGAAATGGAGGAGGATAGTGAACGCTATATTATTTATATTCTTTAAATGTGACATAATATTAATCAATTAACAAACAATAAAATGAATAATCAATAAAAGAAACTTATTCAATTGGAAATGTGAAGTAAATGAACATTAAGAGAACGTTTTATGATGATTTAATCAGAACAATATAAACCAGTATCTCACAGTGATATGTTTCTAACAGTTGACCAAAGAGATATTACTAGAAGTAGTTTTAGAAATAATAATAATAACAAAAATACCAATACCGAAGAAGATGAAAGTGAAAGTGTGGCTAACAACAACTGGTTTTATATATCTAGTGTTACCTTTGATAGTAAATATTGGAATGAATGATAATAATGTTAATAGTTACTGTGAAATTCGTTTTTATAAGAAGTTTTAACAGGAAATTTTCTGCTCCCGGTTTTTTATACTTGGCTGTTGATATTCTATCTTTTGTTGGATCTGGAACTCCGTTGAAGTCACCCATTATGACTATATCTGTCGTGTTGAATTTTTTAATGGCTCTGTTGACCCATTTTGTAAGTTGTTTTTGGATTTCTTTGTTGTCCTGTTTTAAGCCTAATGGTGGGTAGACTGTTATAATTCTTAGTTGAAGGAAAGGTCTAATTGTATCGCATGGTTCTTGAAGGTATCATGTGATATTATATGTTTGTTTAACTCTTTTTTAATCATAATTCCTACTCCATGGCATCCAGTAATATGAATATTGATTGTTATTCGACTTATATTTGTTGGCATTTTTTTAAAAAACTTTTTTGAACGTGCATAGATTATACAAATTGAGAAGATAACAGATCAGAAGGGTATGTATATTTGTTTGAAAAATAAAATAAGTATATCAATAATATGAATTGATATTACATATATGTATTAACAATCATTCTTACATATTAGAATAATATCACTTCTATATGCACATTTTTTGATTTGTAATTTAAAAGTAGTAATAACCACCATCAATAATGAAATTGGCGTTAAATAGATCAAATTCAAGATATGCTAATTTAACTGAATTAACTGAAGTCAAATTTAAGCTTTTAGGTTCTATAATCAAATTATATTCCCAATTCGCCTCCTTTACCAAAAAGATTGAAGTGACATCGATTGAAGTGCGAGATTCATTTTTGAATTTTAAAGTGAGGCTTAATTTATCTGTATTGTTGTCATTAAGAAACCCAATTTCTAGAATTGAAAAGATCAAATTTAATAAATAAATAAATAAATAAATAAAAAAATAATTACAAAAATAATAAAAATACATACCTGAATCACATTTTTCAGGTGTTCCTCCTGGAATAGCAACGGCGTTATAATAGCAAAAAAAGATTACTGTAAAAATTGAAAATTGCAATGAAGATAGTCATAAAGATTTTACTGGCGATTAGCAGATTCCAATAAAAGAGGCCTTGAATTTTGCCTATCAAATTCTTCGCTGGAGGGATATTTATATTCATTATTTGGAGTTCCATAAAAATTTACATTATAATTAATTGTGGTGTTATAATTACCACGGACAAATTACGAATTTGGATTATGAGCGTAGGAAAATCTAACAAACCCGAATGGAATTTGGCTGATATTGGTTACAAGGCAACTTTCATATATACATTTAGAAAACAAAGGTGTGTTTTTGTTCAAGAATTTGAAGAAGATGAATGCACCCTTACAATTAATACATGAACAAATATAAAATTATGTTCCTTCACTGAATGCGATCCCGAATCTTTATGGAAAAAAGTTGGCATATTACAACAATATAATGGCAAACTCCTTTTTGGTTTAGAGGAACCTCAAACACGACATTTAATTAATTCTTTACGTGTACCCAGTTGTATTTTGAACGATTGGAATAATAGTGATGTAATGGAATCAATTTTCATGTATCATCTTAAACGTAGGATATAAACTGGCAAGAATTTTTCAACCAATGGCTTACTGAACAATCAACAATTATTGAATTGAAATTTCAATTAAAAAAATTGTATCCATCTGAGCATGAAATTAATGAACGTGAATTTAGAGCTTGGAAAACTATGTTACGGAATGTTGGATGTGTAGAAATTACACTTTTTGAAAAAGATCAATCCAAGGTAAATAATATTTGACATCAAGTATTTTTATAATTTTATAATTGTATTTTTTATTTTATTTTTATTTTATTTATTTTATTTTTATTTTTTTTAACAGTCACTACTAATATGATTGCGTGTTCTATCTGAAGGCACGATGAGCAAGTGAAGTAAAAGTATCTTTAACAACTACTTGACACTTCCGAAAACAGACTTTATGATTTAACTTTGCCAGGAAATATAAAAGAAGTTTATTATATTTTATTAAAGTTTTGATGGAATTGGACAATAGCGATATATTACTGCTTTGGCGTATCTTACCACTATTGTTATTCCGTTACACTGATTTAATTACTATTATATTAATTTTGTTATTGAAATTATAAAGGAATAAAGGAACGAAAATAAAAGAAATATTTTGTTGGTGTCAAAATTTATCATAAAACAAATAAAAGAAAAAACGTTCCCGAATTTTAATTATTATATAAAAGAATAGGAATATTTCGTTTCTGCCCAAATTAAAAATAAAATTATTGTCCCCAAATTTTATTAATTATCTGTATCTTGTTATTTTTCTCCCTCTTCCGCGCGGCCGTTTTTATATGAAGTATTGTAGCACTGTGTTCCCAGAATCACAAGATATTAAAATTTTAAAAAATTTGTTCAGGTGATGCAATACTTTTGATCGCCACTGTATATTTTGATTTTTTATTTATTTATATTAAAAATTTAAAAATTATTTATATTATTATTAAAAAAACTAATATTTAATTATAAAAATTATATAAAAAATTACATATGAAGAAACACCAACATAGTGTGTTAAATATCGTTATAATTTAGGATAAAATCGAAATTTCAAATGTTGCAATAATGCTGCAAACTGAAGGTATCTTCTGTTAATTTTTAACCTGAAACTTTGCAAATATAGAAGAGAAAGAATGAGTATTGACAAACAATATGCAAAATCGTATTTTTAATAAGGCATTTGTAATTTTGTAAATAATAAAAAACTTATATAAAATATGATATACGAATTTCTGTGGAGCGGAGATTTTCGCCTTCTAAAGCTTCAAAGTTGTCGTATTTATTTTCCCATGGGTGGTAGTAATTGAACACCATAACCTGATTTTGCGAACATACAAAATTAAAAATGAATTCAATTTAATTTATTCAATTTGATGGTAAATTTAGAAATTTAAATAATCTTCAAAGGTGTTTGGTAAATCTGTAATATTCATTAAGTTCCTTATGTTATAATTAATTCCTTCCTCTTTAAATAAATCAACCATTTCTTTAATATTAAGGTTGGATTCGTATAAACTAGTAATTATTATTTTTTTCAGACACTTAAATTTCTTTATGTAATTTTTTAATTCCGTAAGGAGGTTCAACTTAATATCAAATGGCAATATTAAAACTATTAATTTAATATTACATTTTCTGATAAAATTGTTAAATTTGATATGATCGAATGAATCAATATGTAATAAATTAAGAATTTTTAAAGATATTGGTAAATTTTCTGCCAATGTTATTAGATCCTCTGGGAAATAGGTACAACCTCCTAATTGAAGTTGTTGAAGATATTGAAATTTAAAAATTTCCGACGTTATTTCGAATTTATATTTTGAACAACATAAAGTAATCAGATTTGAACAGTAATAACCAACAATCGGTACAAATCTTGCGATACATTCATTTTCATGATTATTAAAATATTTTAAAGTTTTTAGTGAGGATAATTTCAAATAAATAAATTTCTTGTCTATCACGTCACGATTATTAAAAAGTTCTAATTCTTTTAGATTCGGAAAAAATTCAGATGATTCACAATAATAATTCCTTTCCTCCTCCTCAAAAGAACCTACACCAACATGGATTGATAAAACTTCTAAATTTTTTAAAACTTTTAAGTTTTTAAACGAAAATCCCGTAAAATCGACTTCAAATAATTGTAATTGTTTTAAAGAATTAACATGTGATTGCAAATTTATTATGTGAGGTCGAGTTAGATAATTTCTATTTTTAAAACGTAATCCAAATTCTTTAAGTTTTATTTGTGCCTCAATTAATTTTACTAAAGAATCATATAATTCTTGTGTAAATGAGTCTCCACTAACTAACACATTCATATATAAAATTTTTTTGCATTGATTTGAAAGTTTGATGATAAATTGATTAAAAGTTTCCTTATCTTTAGATGAAAAGAAAAAAAAATCTAATTTTGACAAATTCGATGATAATGAAATATTTTCAACATTATATATATTATTGGAATGCAATAATCTAGAATAGTTTACAGATTCAAAAATGTCAATATATTTGATGCTTTTGCAACTTCTCAGCAACATCCTTTTAATAGCTAATTTAATTTTTATGTTAAGACGGAAATTAATCCTGTGAATTAGGTAATACCAAGTGTCAATCCAGGAGTCAATATTTCTATTTGAATAAAATTCTAAATAACTTGCATAATTAAACATTGTTGTTTTTGGTATTTTAGATAAACTCTCGGAATCAAAATCACAAAAAATGGATTTTTTTTCAAAGTCATTAAGGTATGAAAGATAAATATAAATAATTTTGATTTTTATGGATTCTTTGTTTATTTTTGAAAAGGGATTTGACCAAAGGAAATGAACAACCAATGAACAAAATAATTTATTTACAGTAAGAAAATTATATAAAGTGGAATAATCATCCTCGAGATATTCGAGTATATAATAAATTTCGTCAGAATTTAATTTGATCTTTTTTTCCATTCTTATTATTATTTGTGTTGTGTCAAATTATGAAATGTAAAATTTTAAAATGAGAATCAAAAAGAACCAAAAGAACCAAAGAATTTAAAAGTCTAATATACAGCTAAAGACATAACGCGTGAATTATATATCAAATGAATTTTATTATGCAAAATTTTTTTACGTATTATCTTTTTATTTTATAAAGACACGTATTATTTAACACGTATATCGAAATTGCCTAACAAAATAATGATTTGTATTGTTTGTCGTCGTCATATTTCCAAGAATTTTTTTTATCTGAACCCGATAAATATTGTTCTTATATCTGATAATTGATTTCAAAAATTCTGATTGTAATTTTATTTTCTTAAATAGACAAATTAATGAAAACGTAATTAAAATTTCTTTGAAATCTTATGAAATTCTACTTTCGCTTATCCTTTGGTGGTATTTGATATATATTTTTATTATGTTAGATAATTGCTCAATTGATTGTATTGTTGTTGAAGAAGGAGGTGATGCTATATAATGTTGGATTATGATTACTAAACAATATTACTTGAAAATCGATGGAGTCAACAATGACCAATTTAACGAAATAGTAAACGATAATGAGAAAATCAAAAACTATGTTAAAAAAAAATTGTCAATAATTGAAAATTAGGAAAATAAACTAGTTTTTAATCTATTATTTAATTACAATTTACAATAAATCACATACAACGCTCATTTTTTTAATTTCAAAACAATCGACTCTCTATAAGTGCACCCCCCTTAAATGCACTCTGTAATCTGGTCCTAAGTTGAAAAATGGAACTTTTAATAAAAATTCTTGTGTGCAAATTCCAATGCTATAAAATTACTTATTTGTATCAGATTCCATAGAATAGAAATTAAAGTTTCTTTTATTATTAGACAAATTAAACAAATTAAGATTTTAATTCGTCCAATATTTTAATACAACAGGATACCTTATTGTTATATTTGCTTTACTAACTTTTTAAAGTTACTATAAAATATGACCACAATAAATTCAATTGAAGAAATCCAGGAATTTGCGATTAAATAAGAACATATTGAGTTTCAAAATTGATATTTTACTCTTTTTATTATTGTTTGCTTATTTTAATCATGATGAACTTTGTTCATTGCCTTCTGCTTAAAGCAAAGAATACATATGTTTATTTTAACTGGCTAGGTTTATGTTCCTTATTTAGATTAATGCAATTATTGTATTACTAAGATATGAAGATTTTCTAATATGGGACAGCAATAAATTTTAAGGTTTAACTAAATGGCTTTATTGTAACGACCTCAAAGGGTCTGCAAACTTTACAGTTCTTATTTAATTCTTTAATTCATATATTAATTTGTTAGTATTCTATTAAGTTGTTTAATATATTGAACTTCATTGATTTCTAATTTGATCAAATAATATCTCTATTTGTATCTTTAATCAAACAGTCATTCAAGGTCTTCATAATGTATTTGTTTAGATATTCAAAAGAAGAATATGGAAACATTCTTTGGCGGAATGAAGATTCATATTATCATCCTCTGTATGTCAAAAATATAAATCTGATGATCGAGATTTTTCAAAAATTATTATGTATAAATACAACAACGAATAATCTGAGCTCATTAAATATTTTAAACTTTGTTTAATAATCAACGAATATCCGAAATAGACAAAACAAACCCCACCTTATGTAATCAAAATGATGACAAATTCAGGAAGATCATCCTCACATCAAACAAACTTTCGAAGATTAATATTCAATTATAAACGATTATTCGATTATTCGATTATTCGATTATAAACGATTATTACGATTATTCGATTATTCGATTATTCGATTATCCGATTATCCGATTATTCGATTAAATCGGATCAAATCGATTATAAAAATAAAAATAATTCAACTAAAAAAAAAAAAATGATTCGGACTACTAATAATAATTATGACATTATTAAATAAAATTTTTAATTTTTTCTATCATCCAAAATATTTTGCCTTCATATCCTTCATCTTTTTATTTTTTTTTTAATTTTCGGATCTCTGATAACATAGGTATCTCAAATTCTTGTTTTCTTCTGGTTTGTATATACGAAAATTTCTTAATTTATTATTTTATTCAAGATTCGGAATGAAATATTCGTATTCATTAAATTTTTCATGATTTCATTGAGAGATTCTTTTAATAAGTTTGATAAACTTTCTTGCTCTAACTACTACCAATATTAAAACATCATTGGTAGCAGTCAGAGCAAGAAAATTTATCAAACTTATTGAAAAGAATCTCCCAATGAAATCGGAAAATTTATATGAATATGAAAGTTGTTTCTGTAGAATAGTCGATTATATAATTCCAAAAATGAGACAAAGCACAGAAATTTTTTTTATATACAAGCGGGAAATCATATCCTTCAGGAATGAAATAAAGATTCACATTTTGTTGCACATAATTGGAGGGAAGGGTTGATGACGAAGAAGGGCAGGAAAACGTTACTATATTTTGTTCATTAAATTTTAATGACATTGTGAATAAAAAAATAAATAAAAAATAAATGAATTTTTCCAGATTATAAATATGTATCCAAATTGTTGCTTTAATACTATTATATCGTTATTTATTAATTTCATCTGCCTGCCGAGTATTTGATAACTATAATCCAAGATACAGTCAGACTCCTTTATAGTCACCTCCCATATAGTCACAAAATCGACATAGTCACATTTATATTTTTACCAATTATTTTACTATTTATTTTACCTCTGTATAGGCACAATTGCATTATAGTCACTATCACATTTTTTTATTGACCGCCTATATGAATTGTTCTCTATAAAGTCACGTATCATGTGAATTTTAAATCGGCCAATAATAATTTAGTTTTCAGATCCTAAGGTAACGCGAAAAATGCCGATTTTATTATTATAAACGGTTTTTTTTATATGTTTTAATAAATGTAATTAATAAATGTATACTATCGTTATTATTGTTTAATAAAATGGAATTAATGTATGTATCTATTTATAATTATTGTTATTAATATTATGAATTAGTTTTAAAAAAAATGAATCTAGAGTGTGATGCTGATATCAGGTTCATTAATACAACTAAAAAAAGATATAAGTGAAGATTGTTTTTTATTTTTTTCCCTTTCATAATGCCATTCTTTAAGCCTTTTTCGCAACATTTTTAATCCATTCTCATCAAATCCCTTTCCAACTTCAAGACTTTCTTGGTAGCTTATAACTTTTTCCAATGCTTCAACAGCCTCTGTAACAGTTATTGGAGGTGGT